CTAGGCGGCCGGTCGTCGCACGAGCCCGGTTTGCCGTACGGCGCCATCGCCCGTCGTCGGGATCTCACCGTTACGACGGTACGGCGTCTAACGGTCGAACATGAGTTTCGCGAGTTCGATGTCGAGACTCGGAATCGTCTGTAAACTATGTATAATATGTATATTAAAATTATTATTACTAATTGAGTATTAATTGAGTGATATCCTTTCCTGTTTACATATATGTGTTCAGGATTATTATTTCCTGACGGAGGAAAGATAGCAATATGTGTGCAATCGATACGTCCTATAGTGCCAGGAAATTCAAATCTTCTGTAAAATCTGAAAAAGAAAAAAAATGTAAATATAATATTTATATTATATGTAGTACAAGGTAGAATAAGTAGAATAAGAATAGAGTACAATAAGTCCGAAAGAATTTCCTTTTTATGAGATTAATAATCATTTAAACTGATTTAGAAAGGTATTGTTTAGTTCTTTGTTATTTTTAATTTATTCTTTATTTGGGCCTTATTATATTCATATGCATATAATAAGGTACAATGTCAGTTTTAAAAAAAAATTTCACATTTTTATTTATAAATATTCTATATAAACAATATATTTTATTTTTGTGAGTGAATGAAATAAAGATTTTATTATTTCACTAGTTTATTTTAATATCTCCTTCAATAGAATTAAAAAAAAGAAAATTTATTAAATTTGCATTATTGATTGGCTCAAAAACCTTATATAAAAATTTATAAAATAATTATATATACACATTTCATGTTTATTTTTATATATTTTATATATTACAGAAAATTTATATTCTTACTCTATTCGCAATTCATTCAGTTCTGCAAGAGTAGAAGGAAATTTAATCTAATGGTTCATGATTTCTTGTCTCGTTATTACATCTATTACTTCATGAATACAACGGGAAACTGTTGGCTGACTGACAGCCATATAAATATTTTTTCCGATATCCATCTGATAAGAACCACTCGCAAAAAATCGCAATGCTGTAATAACCTATAGAAAAATAATTGTTTATTGTTTATGTTTATCATATACGTATGCTACAAATTTTGGAATATAATTACCTTAGTCGTGGGATCGATTGAGGATATTCTTGTTTGAGGAGTTAAATGTGGTTCAACAAGTTCAATAAGGTATCTTGCTGCGGCTTTACTTAAGCGAAACAATGTAATAAATTGTTCATTAGGTAATTCAAAGGGATCGTCTCTAATATGAAAAATTCTCCTTCGTTGTTCTGCTATTTCTGCATTTTGTAATGCATTTATAATTGGCACATTTAGTACTATATCATCAAGATTCATTTTTTTTATATAAATTAAATCTTTTATTCCCCGCTTTCTCTCTTCTATTTACGGCGTGAATACACGTGAAACAGCGTGAAACAAATAAATCATTACATATTTATAAATTAATTTTTTTTAAATTTTATTTCAAAATATATATATATATTTATTTATTAATTATTAAGATGTACACATACATTAACATTACTCACCTCGTCTCTTCGACGCAGTCTCTCTTCTTCTTCCAAAATATTATCCAAAGGCTGAAAGTGAGCGGACCGCATAATGATATAAGGTAATTAACGTATACGTTTCGAGAGAAAAGTATGGGGTAACCCATTCGTTGCATTACGAATGATATATTGCGTATACGACAGTACTTACGAGTGTCGAGAATACTGCTCTAGAGATTTTCTGTTACAATTACTCGCAACTTGATATTTGCGTATACGCAACTATTTCAAGAATAGAGACCTAGGGATTTTTCGTTGCGAGTATTCGCAACTTGTTACTTGCGTATACGCAACTGGTTCAAGAATAGGGCCCCTGATACCGAACCTCGGCGGCCTTCGGGACTTGATCCGCCGCGCTTATGCGTACACCGTCTTGGCTGGGTTCCTCTATGGAGCCCCCGTTTGATCCGAGGAGGCGACGAACAACAGCCGCATCAAACGGGCGATGCGCCGGGTGCAGCGAAGGCTGTCCCAGCGCATCGTCCGCGCGTACAGGACGGTGTCGCATGACGCGACGATGGTGCTGGCGGGCGTGCCGTTCGCGGACCTACTCGCGAGGGGACGGGCCAAGGTATACCGATGGGTTGCCGCGGCCCGTCTCGAGGGGCACGTATTAACGCCCCGTGAAATCGAAGCCCGAAGACAAGTGGCACATAAACGGGTGTTCGCGGAATGGCGCGCCTGCTTGGAGGACGTGGAGCATGGGGCCTGGACCGTTGGGGCCGTCAGGCCGTGCCTTGAGGAGGTAGTCGGTAGAAGGTGGGGAGGCCTCACCTACCGACTCACGCAGGTGCTCACCGGACACGGATGTTTCTATGAGTATCTGCACTGTATAGGTAAGGAGCGCAGTCCGCGCTACCACCATTGTGGCGCGGACGAGGACACCGCGCGGCATACCCTCGCGGAATGTTCCGCGTGGGATGCAGAACGCGGGGTCCTCGACCTCTGTGAAGTGAGCACCTCATTTTTGAAAAAATCAATTTTTCGTTAGAGTTCTGATTGCACTCCGAAAAGTTCTGGAGTTCCAGCCTAAAATTAAAAATAATTCTGGTGATTTAAGCAAAAAAAACCAATTTTAAAGATTTGGGGTGCCAACTTCACAAAACGCATAACGAAAAATCGCGATATCTTCTAAAATATTAATTTTAGCGCTTCGAGTCATAATAACTTTCGTCAGAACTCTTGAGGTGCTATCCAGAACTGTCGACGGATCTGCCAGAACTTTAAAAAATTTTTCAACCCACGAGTGTTAGAAATTTTTCGGTCTGACAACGAAAAACCGTGATATCTTCTAAAATATTAATTTTAGCGCTTCGAGTGATAACTTTCGTCAGAACTCTTGAGGTGCTATCCAGAACTGTCGACAGATCTGTCAAAACTTTAAAAAAATGTATCATCTGCCTACTGATAGGTTTTCGGTCCGACATAAGGGAGTCGTTGCGATATCGTGTCCTTTTTGTGTTTTTTTTTTATCGTTTCCTACTCTTGGCATTATCCAGGATCAACGGCGAGGACGTAACAGGAATCTGATCCCGCGCGCGCGCGTGTGTGTGTGTGTGTGTGTGTGTGTGTGTGTGTGTGCGTGCGTGCGTGCGTGCATGCGTTGGTGCATGTGTGTGCACGCGTGTGCGTGTGCGCGAGATAAAGTGTAATTGGGATTTCTTTAAGTATTTTTGGCAGTATATATTATTATATGTGGCGCTATTTTTTCTTCATCTGTTGCCATTCTGCGTTTTATCAGCATGTCATTATACATGTACCAACGAATTGTATCATAAATATATGCTGTGTAATGCCCGTCATTTTCATTACTGGCATATTGCTGGTGAGACACTAATCCAGCTATGACATAGTTCTTTTCGTTGATACGTAAAATTTTTGGGACAGAATTAAGTGTCGTATCGTTTTTATGCAATACAATCGAAGCAGCATATCGTTTGTCGGTGATGACGCTCTCTATCATGGTTGGTATCAATTATAGCGTTTTGCAATTCAGAAAATCCATTTTGTAAGAGTATATTAAGATAGAGACTCAAAATGCAACAAATGCCATCAAAATGTGAGAGAAAAAATTAACTTTTTATCACATTTATTAGTAGATAGCAACGTCATCACCGACAAACGATATGCTGCTTCGATTGTATTGCATAAAAACGATACGACACTTAATTCTGTCCCAAAAATTTTACGTATCAACGAAAAGAACTATGTCATAGCTGGATTAGTGTCTCACCAGCAATATGCCAGTAATGAAAATGACGGGCATTACACAGCATATATTTATGATACAATTCGTTGGTACATGTATAATGACATGCTGATAAAACGCAGGTTGTGTTCCAAAATTGTTTGCCATCGCTGGCAGCACTGTCAACACCGTTCCAAAAATTATCGAGCACGCTGTGACAGTGCTGCGAGAGAGTAAAGACGTCACTAATTTTGTCGTCATTTCCTGCTGCGGCTGCTGTGGCTGAAGAGGTGAGGCAGTTACAGCACAAAGATGACGGAAAAGGTGGAGGAGTTAATTTTAATTGATGCTGAGAGTAACACCAAATTTAAAATAAATAAATCAAATTAAACATTTTTAAAAGACCCCGTGCTATGTGAGAAACACAATTAATAATAGAAATTAAAATGCCTTTAACGGTCGAAGCTAGATCTATAATGCTTTAAATAATTCAATGTGAATTATATATGTACCATATTTGTAGTCCTTCAAACTGCGCGCCGAATTGATTTTCCGGACTTATAAACGCAATTAAACTACTGGAATAATATCACGAAACGAACTAATTTTTGATGCACAATCAGGCATCATATTAGCAAGATGTTACTGTGCTGAAAAACTGT